GCATACACCCAGTGCCCTGAGTTTCAGCCCATCTACGCTGACCTACAGGCTGGCAAGTCCGTCCCTAACTTCCAGCTTGATCCCTCTAGACTCCTATACTGGCTTGGTCGCCAAGGTACCCGTACTCCTCGCTTATGTATGCCTTCTACTAGCCAGCTCCGCGTTCGGGCTGTCGCTGAGTGTCACGACCAGCGCGCCGCCGGTCATCTCGGTGTCCTCAAGACACTTGACCGCCTCTACCGCCATTACTACTGGGAGCACCGTCGTCCTTTCACTAAGGAGTACGTTCGCACCTGCAGGATCTGCCAGGAGGCCAACATTCCCAACCACCCCCCCTATGGTCTTCTTCAGCCCTTACCCATCCCTACTCAGCGTTGGACTTCTGTCTCCATGGACTTCATTGGTCCTCTTCGTCCCCCTACCCCACGAGGGCACGATGCCATCTTCGTCGTTGTCTGTCGGTTGACTAAGCATGCTCACTTTCTCCCTTGCAAATGCTAATTCAGCCAAAGACATCGCCTCCCTATACTTCAACCGTATTGCCATCCATCACGTTCTCCCCACTAGCATCGTCCCTGATCGCGATCCCCGCTTCACTTCCCATTTCTAGCACGGACTCCATGAGATCTATGGCTCCGAGCTCCGCCTCTCCTCCTCCTATCACCCCCAGTCAGATGGACAGACCGAGGTCACCAACAAAACTCTTGGGAGTATCCTCAAGAAGTTTGTTGAGAATGACTCTGATTGGGATCTGCATCTTGCTCACGCAGAGATTGCTTATAACCATGCTATTTCTCCTGCCACTGGCATGTCTCCCTACTACTGTGACTTGGGATACCATCCCCATGTCCCATCTGACCTTCTTCGTCCATCTCAGATCCATCTCGACACCAAATGCCCTGCCCTCGATGACTGGGTAAAGGAGATGGATGCGCTCCTTAGCATTGTAGCAAGGCTCGCGAGAGCATTGCTAACTCCCAGACTCGCATGGGCACTCGCGCTAACCGCTCTCGCATCGACCATCCCTTCAAAGTTGGCGACGAGGTTCTTGTCGACGCACGTCACTTCCAGCTCGAAGCTGACACACTTCGAAAATTCAGACGTCAATACATTGGACCATGCACCATTCTTGCACATGCCGGACCCAATCATGACTGTCCAGTGAGCTTCAAATTGAAGCTCCCCGATTCCATGTATCGCGCTAATTTACATGATGTGTTCCATGTATCTCTTTTGCGCCCCTTCAGATGGTCTCCCCCTGAGTTCCATGGTTGACCTTACCCTCACCCCTCTCCCATCATCGAGGGTCACGAGGAGTTTGTCGTCTCTGATATTGCGTCCCGGCGTATGACTGATGGTGACCTTCCCCGCCTCGAGTATCTCGTTCGATGGAAGGGTTATCCTGACGAGGAGTCTACTTGGGAGCCTCTTGAGCACCTGAAGCCTGCTATGACTTTCGTGCGTGCTTACGATCGTGCTCATCCTTTCCCTTCATCATCCTCCCCCCCTACTTCTCATCCTTCTACTACTGACCCTTCTACCTCTGCGACCACTAACATTCCCCCTCCTCCATCGATGGGTCCTCCT